TGGCTTTGGGTTCTGATTGTAGAGAAACGTGAGGGATAAATAAAGCTGAAGACTGGGATGGGCAGATAAAGAAAGGCTGGCTGGCGACTGGGAAGGAGAAAAGGAAGCAGGGAAAGGAAGAGGATAAGGGGGCTGCCAGGCAGACTGAAAGAGAAAATAGTGTGGGGAAGGCGATGCAGAGGCAAATGAAGTGAGTCCTCAACAGGTCCTTGCAGGTTCCCTGCTTGTTAGTACTGAATTTTCAGCCCACTGCTTTATTCTCATTTTCTCTGAGTAAAGAAAGGACACGGGCCAGGAATTTGCAAATGAATACAAAGAGTAATGCACGAAGCATAACAGAATCTTATCAGTCCTGGGATTTCTTCCAGCTCTCTGCTATTTTGGTTCTTCTATTAGCGTCAAATGCACAATCCTGTTCCGTTTATATGTCTGTGGATAGTGTTTGCCTCACAGCAACCCTACTCAAGCAGTTCATTGTTACTCCTGTTTTAGGCAGGCTATGCTTGCAAATACTATTTAATCCAAAACTGAACTAAAAGGGACCATTTGTTAATATTGCACGCAATTCCAAGTGAAATCCCGGTGCCAGAATAATGCTCCGATCTAATGCTCAGATCTGAAGATTTCTGGATACGACCACCAGTAATCAGGCTGTAAAAAATGCATGTCATTTGTCAGAATTCTTCATACCTGGCTATTATTCTGGCACCTGGCTGTCCGTCTTAGGGTTCAAGAAGGTCCGAGGGAAGGATAAGTGATTTGGCTGGCAGAGCAACTGACAGGGTCATTTTCCAGTCAGCAGTTTGCATTCCAACTTTCCCATCAGAGAAGCTGAAACTTCCAAAGTGCTGTTCATTCATACCAATCACACTGCAGATGCACTGGCCTGAGGGGAGCTTTGCTTTCATTCTGCATAAGCACTAGCTTCGCTTTACTTGCTGTTCTGTCCCCTCTGGGGCTGCTGCATCTACCAGGCACTGGGCAAATATTTCACTTGTGTATAATGGCACAGAGGCTCTGTAGGGGCTTGAGGTGGGTGAGGTAAGTGAAATGGTGCACCTGACCCCTCTCTAGGCCCCAGCCAGCATCTGTTGTGCTGTACCAACATCTCTCAGCACAGGAATACAACAAGGAGACAGGCGGGATCAAAGCCAAGAGGCCTGCAGTGAGCAGCTGAGATCTCTGCAAGGTTTCCTTTTCCTCAGAAGCCACCATCATTAATCCTTGCTCCTGGTGCCATTTCTCATCTAGGAAGAAGAGAAAAGATTGGATTTATACCCCACCCTTTACTCAGAGTCTCAGAGCGGCTTACAAACTCCATTCCCTTCCCCTCCCCACAACAGACACCCTGTGAAGTAGGTGGGGCTGAGAGAGCTCTTGACAGAAACTGCTCTTTTTTCAAGAACAGCTCACACAGAACTATGGCTTGCCCAAGATCATCCAACAGCTGCATGTGGAGGAATGGGGAATCAAACCCGGTTCTCCCAGATTAGAGTCCGCGCACTTAACCACTATACCAAACTGGCTCCCCTTCTAGCTGAAATTAGTCCCATCAGGGGGAAAAGACAGGCCACCTGTTTAAGTTATGAGGACCAACAGAGGGCGAGACGAGATGTGACACAGCCAAGATGCTTTAAAGTTTGCCCTCCATGCTAGAAAGGAGATGGATTCTAATGACAGAATTCTCATCATTTAGGACACATTGATCTCCAGTTCTGACGTATTTATTACCTATGTTGTTTCCCCCCCAGTTGAACCCGAACAGATCTATCTATCTATCTATCATCTATCTATCTTCCTCCCCATCTTCCCATCTTCCTCCCTATCTTCCTCCCTATCTATCTTCTTCCTCCCCATCTTCCTCCCCATCTTCCTCCCCATCTTCCTCCCCATCTATCTATCTATCTATCTATCTATCTATCTATCTATCTATCTATCTATCTATCTATCTATCTATCTATCTATCTATCTATCATCTATCTATCATCTATCTATCTATCTATCTATCTATCTATCTATCTATCTATCTATCTATCTATCTATCTATCTATCTAATCTATCTATCTATCTATCTTCCTCCCTAACTATCTTCCTCCCTATCTGTCTGTCTGTCTGTCTATCTATCACTATGATCTGTAGTTCCATTTCATTGTCTGACAAAGTGTTCGTGCACACGAAAGCTCACACCTTGAATAAAACTTTGTTAGTCTTAAAGTGCTACTGGACTCTAACTTTGCTGTGACCGTGTATTTCTTATTTTGGCTTTGGGAGACCATGTAAAGAAAGTGTGTGTGTGCGCTCCAGGGTAAACAGTGGTGTCTATTGTTTAGCCAGTGGAGCAAGTAAGCCAGAGAGACCTAAAACTCTTCCACCTCCCATGTTTTACCTAGCCGCATTCCCTTGCTTGAAGCATCTGTCTGAAACTGGGGGAGAAGGTGGGAAAGGAATGTCCCAGACATGGGACTACAACAAGGCAAAGTGTGGGAGGTGCCACCCTCCCCCAAGCATGATTGCTTTTTGTTTAGAAATAGTTCCTCAACAACTTCTAGTGTTTTTTGGCGGTGGGATCCGCTGGAGGGAGGGGGGGTTGTTATAAAAATCCACCTTGGCAAGCAGCCCCTTCTAAATGAAAACTTTCTCCCCATTCCAAGAGGTACTTGTTTACAACTACTTGACCTTCATGGAACACCCGGGAGCTGTATAGCCCGCATTTCAGCAAAAGCCACAGTTTCTGATGGAAAATGACATCGCTGCGATCTGAACTCCATCTCGTGCAAGATATCAGGTCAGACTCAAAGTCCCTTCGTCTTCTCATGGCAGGACCACTCAAGGTAAGAGAGCAGCAGAAGCACAAATGGCTATAGCAGTAGACATCACTGGACGCTTGGAATATTTATGACTTTGGTGGTTGCACATGCAGCCCACTCCCAGAGGAAATAATGCCCCCGCACTGTGTCTGGTCAGGACCAACGCTCCCTCTAAGGTGCGGAGTCTTGTGAGTGAAAATTCTACTTTGTGAGCTGGCGGCATTAAAGTTGTGAGTGAGCGATTTGGCTCCTACATAAATTGGTTTGCTCTGGAGCCATCCTCCCTGAGCTAAAACAATCTGTGAGCTGAAGGCTAAAATACTGTGAGCTAGCTCCCACTAACACAGCTTAGAGCAGTGATGGCGAACCTTTTAGAGACCGAGTGCCCAAACGGCAACCCAAAGCCCACTTATTTATCGCAAAGTGCCAACACGGCAATTTAACCTGAATACTGAGGTTTTACTTTAGAAAAAACAACTCATACATTAACTTAAGATGATCCAAACAAAGTAAGGAAAGCAATCCCAAATGCTTTCATTTACTTAAAATTATTTGGCAGAGAATTTGACACTTTAATGAAGGTCTGGGCCTGGTTGGGGCGATGGCACGCGTGCCCACTGAGAGGGCTCTGAGTGCCACCTCTGGCACCCGTGCCATAGGTTCGCCACCACTGGCTTAGAGGGAACACTGGTCAGGACAATGACATGGGGGCAGGCAGAAGCCCCTCCTCCTCTCTATGCCACAGTCCCATCCAGAAATGCCCCCTGCAGCCCCCACGGGGAACTTGCATGTGGTGCCTTGCTGCCAGGCCGCACTGGGATCCTGAGGCAGCCTCAGTGTGTAGCTCACCTGTCCGGAAGATGAGAGAGGGAGATGTATGTTTTGTCAGCTGTGCAAAATGAGATGGCCAACACAGCTACCTTGACCCTCAAAGGAAACAGAATGGGGGGAAACCAGGGCCACAAAGGATGGGGGATTCTAGGACCTTTGCACAACCCCCATGGATATTAATCCCAACGCACAGTTTTTTCTTCCAGTCCCTGGGCTAGCCACGCCAGACCTAGAGGCCTACCGTAGTTCTTAGGGAGCAGTATTTTACCTCTAGGAACTGCCATTCCCATCTCAAGGCTATGACGGTAGTCCCTCCCTGGACCATCCTTCTACTTTCCCTGCTCTCCATTCAGTCCTGTAGAAGCCATTCATTCTACTCCCCCCCCACCACCATTCCACATCTAAATTGCCCTATAAGCTGTCGTGCCAGTCCCAGGGTCCCTATTGGAGTCTTTAGGGTTGCCAGTTCTGGGTTGGGAAATACCTAGGGCTGCAAACCTCCAGGTGGTGGCTGGAGAATTCCTGGGATTACAACTGACCTCCAGGGGACAGAGATCAGTTCGTCTGGAGAAAACTACCACTTTGGAAGGTGGCATCTATGGCATTATGCCCCACTGAGGTTCCTCCCGTTCCCAAACCCCGCCCTCCTCAGGCCCCACCCCCAAAATCTCCAGTGATTTCCCAGCCCGGAGCTGGCAACCCTAGAAATACCTGGAGATTTTGGGTGTGGAGCCCGGGGGAGGCTGGAGTTTGGAGGGACCTCAGCGGGGCATAATGCCATAGAGTCTACCCTCCCTCCCAAACACTCATTTTCTCCAGGGGAAATGATCTCGACCGTCTGGAGGTGAATGGCAATAGCTGGGGGTCTCCAGGTGCCACGTGTAGGTTGGCAGATCCAGGTAATTCCTCACCGCCCATTCCCTGTTACAATCGCGCCTCTGCGGTACTCCGCCATTCCAGCCGTCTGGCATTCCCGGCTCCCATCCTAGCCCCAGGGCTTTCTTTCGGGGCGCCGCTATTGTGCCCGACGGGCATGCCCAGAGTCCTCCATTTGTTCCGGCTGCCTGGGGCGGGGCGGAGGAAGGGAGCCGGGGGGGGGCCCGGCCCCTCCCCGTCCCTCACAAGGCCAGCCCCTTCGGGGGCCGGGGCCGGCAGGCGCGTCGAAAGGGGCCGGCCCTGGGAGCGCG